AACATCACGAATAATCCAGTATTTGCTAGGCGCCCTCTATTCTTGTATATAAGTGCGCCAGACAATGAATCGAGATGGTATAGCAGACAGTCAAGCACGGTAGTAAGTAAAGTGCGTAAATCGTTCTTTGTAAATTAGAGCGTGTGTTTAAGTGTGGAAATTAAGTGTGTTACAAAGTTGTATTGAGAAAGAATAAACTAGTTTCATTTAAGAAAGGACTTGTATCGCTGAAGTTTCTCGGGAAGAATTTCTACGGGCAATTAACAAACGAACAGAGACATAACAGTATTTTAACTTGAATCTTCTTAATTTTTTACAGTAACATAACTAACTTTAGGCGGAAATGTTTTAGGAAGTACCTTTAATTTTAATGAGTAAGAAAAAGTTAACTAATTAATAGATATATGCTTATACATCTATCTATCTATCTATATACTACCAAAACTTTGAGATTGTTTGTTTGTTTGCTTGTCTGTTATTAAATACAGCAAAAACGGTGCAAAACATCGAATATTTATAATGAAATGAGAATAGAAATTAGAATATAAACAGAATAAAACAAATTTCGTTAAAATCGGGCCACTGGTTACGGAGTTAGCACCGTTTTTCGGGTCACTTTTATGAAAATTTCTAGCATGAGTAATTTTACATCACACTACCGTTCGCGCTCTTTACGAAACTTCTTCGTTCAAATCTATTTCCCTGTTAATGTTCCAATCTTCATTAAAAGGCGTAAGATGACAAAAACAAGATCTTGAAGAATTTCTCAATAATGCGCCTTGGTTATGGTAGGTAATTCGAAGAAAAAATAAAGTGTTACTGTTTCTTATTTGTAGAAGGTTTAAGAGGAAAGACCACAACATAACGAACTAATTCATCTCAATACCTGAAAACTCTGACTTCACTTTTTTGAAAGATAAAATGGTCTTTCCTTTTACTCTCGATCAACAATCAAATATCTTTTCTTGAATTATGAATAACACGAATGGATTGAAATATTTAATTAAATTATCTCAAAATAAACCTTTACTTCGGTGCAAGATTGAAATTAGCTTGAATTCTTCATAACCTCTGAATAGTGGATGGCCAAACGGGTCACGGGTGGTCTAGTATTTTCATAAAATTAATAACGGGTTACGACTCGGTTCGTAAAATTATATAAAATATCTAAGAACAAAGTAAAAAAAAAGCGTTCTTTCCAATAAAACCTTTTCCTGTTATCTAATTATCCAATCAGAAATTTAAAAAGTTCTTTCCAATTAGGCTTTTCCTATATTTGGCCAGCCCTTTTGTGGTCCTGCGGAAATTCTGGTGGCTACTAATGTTGAAATAGGATTTCGATACCCACGGTGAGCAGAGCTCAATAGTCCATTTTGTAGCTTTGTGCCAAAACCCGTTATCTTTCAAAAATGAAACCGAAGATATTTTTATGCAAGCAAACTTTTTCCGTCATTTTTATGCTATTCAGACAGAAATGGAAAAAACAAAAAGCTTTTTTTAAACAGATTGTATGTAAGCACTTTTTGTATAACTGAAAAACTGGAATGGGTTTATAATTTGAGGAGAAAAAAAACAGTAATGCAGAGTTCTACTAATTTGAAATCAGTTTCAGCTTAACATATCTTCTCAGATTCTTGTTGCTTATCGTCAGTCGACTAACTAATACTGTTATTGGTTAAGAAAGTAATATTAAATTTTGTAGAGATATTTCATTCGAATACTCATGTTTATCATGAAAATATCCTTATATATGATTACACAACCGCCTAGTGGTGAAACCAACATATATAACTCCGCACAACCAGAACACGTGAAATATTCAGATAACAAACGAACGCTTATTCTTAAAATGAAAAACAAATCTCATAACGAATTTAAATAAACGTCTAATTTGTATCTATAGAAAAACAGTGAAAAGAACTGAAACTGCCTTCTTTTTTGACCTTTTGCAAATGTTGTCTTACTTAAGGTAACAGTATACATTTTTGTTTGCTTTTTATAGGGGAAACAAACTCTGGATTTTAGCGTTACAAGTCCTTAAACTTACCAATAATCCATGGAGGATAACGCCATGCATTTTGCTACTGGTTGTGGGATAGCAAATTCTATATTTTTATGATTATGGTTGTGTTTATCGTTCATTTATTATTTCCTTCTATTGTTTAGATTATCTATGAATTTTTAGTTGCATTAAAACGCTAATTCACCTTCTAGTTAGTCATTTGTATTTTGAGTAAATATGTGTGTATGATTAAATTGACCTAGCGGTGACGTAGCAGAAGATTATGTAAATATATGATCACATTAGGTTGTATTCTTGTGACCTACTCAGTGAATAAATACCCTGCCAGAAGCTTCATTAAGAGAGACTCGGAGTGAGTGAATGTTACGCGACAGTTACTGAATTATTGCTGTATATCACTCGATATTGTTATTAATATTGAAAGGTAATTTTCGAATATTGTGTTTTTTTGCTGTATTATTTTTTTAGTTTGTTTTTTTTTCTTTCTGGTTCTTTTTCCTGATTCTGTTATTTGTAATAATATTGATATTTATGATACATTGTTTATTAACATTAGTGTCAAGTTCTGTCCAAACACTTGTTTATTAACTGTGTTCTGGTAAGTGTTGAATTTACTTCTTAGTGTTTTTATTGTTGAATAAATTGTTTTTCGTTGTTGAACTCTCATTGTAGCGGCGTGTTAAAATTTTAGACTGTTACAGGGTTTCTTAGCGACAATGACCTTTGATACTTTGTAAGTGGACAGTTTATTCAACATTTCACTGATGTTACTGATATTGTTAAATTCACTTTGTTTGAAAATAATTTTATACGTGCCATTTCTTCGTGTAGCAAAACATTTGTACTCACAATCCTGTAAACATGATTCGCAAGAATTTTCAGTAAATTAACTTTAAATTCTTTAAGTACAAAACTTGTTTTCTTTACTTGCTTTAGGGCAAATCCGCTTGGAATCGAACCCCCAGATTTTAGAAATGTAAGTCCTTAAAAAGAACAAAGCAATCAAATTGCATATATATTGCAGTTTTCAAATTTTCGGTTAACTTTAAAGTACTTTCTTACTAATATTTGGTATTTTTTATTTATAATGTAATATTACTCGATTTATTCGGTACTTAAACATTATAAACAACCAAACATGATGATCATAAATTCAGTTTATAAACAAGAATTACTTAAAAGGATTGTGTATGTCAACCCACCATTTTAATAGTTGTGTTCCTAGTTCCTTAAGCATTTGAAGTTAATTTAGCGAACGACTTCCTTGAGAGTCATTCTTGTTACATGAATAAATAACTTGTATAAAAAGAAAAACATTTTTGAAATGTAATGAATAGCTTCATTGCAGGTCACGGTAATATAAATGAAATGTTGAACCAACTGACCACCCCTGTAGCTTTAAACTTTGTTCTACGAAACCAGTAGTAGTAGCGTTACTATATGTAGAAAAACAATGGTAATAGGTTAAAAAACAAATAATTTCAATCTTGGGAAGCGTCTATCTACTGATGCATATTGGAAGTGTATTTAACTTTGCTTTGAAAATTGTTTTTATTTTAAAAATGTTATCCCTAAGAATACATGGTCGTTTTATCTATTCAGGGGAATATTATGCTTCACCATTAGCT